GTCGCCTTATGTTTGTGGAAATTTACCAACAATTATTACAAATAAATGATATTTGACAAGTAACTTGTAAAGTAACGTGTAATTAATATAACATTAAAATTAATATATTTGTAAGCAAAAAAAATGCGAACAAATTACTTTAAGTTTGGGACATATCTAAAAATAAATGCTTGTACAAGTTGACAAATATAATAGTGTATACAATATATTAAAGTGAAATTGAATTATCTTTAAACTACACTTTTTTTTTAATTGTTATTGGTAATGATGTAGTAAATTTTCAAAGGTATTTACGATACTATTTATTGATTGTAAACTTTTTTTATTTCACAATTAGGTTTAAACTATTTTAGTTTAAACGTGTTTCAAATAGGGTTTGAAAGACATTTGCCAGTAAAACTTAATGTACCAATTTTATGAAGCGGTTATTTTTTTTACTGCTAGTGGATCTTAATGTAACAAACATTTTTTTAAAGAAAGTACAAGATATTGTATTTCAATTTAATCACCAATTAATAATAGTTTAAATTAGATCCCCAGATTTGATTATTGCCTTGATTTATATATATTTGGTACTGAAAATATCAATGGAAAAAAGTATTTGTATGAATTTAATAATATAATTCTTTAATTCTTCATTATTATAAGATTATTAATGAAAAAATTGATTTTCTCTTATATTTCGATGAATTTTCAATGAGATTCCAGAACATTATGAAATTAGTAATCAATGTGTTAATGATATTTGGTTGGATTTAAATGAACCGAAATGCGTTTTAAAACAGATAATTTTCATGTTGCACGTAGGTCCCCATGGAACGTGATGCAAACCGCAAATGATTTCAGTATTACGTAACAAAATTACGGATACGCAATCCTGCTAATGCAATACTAATAAATACGATTTAGTTTATAGCCCGTAAAGTGCTATACAATTTACTGAAATATGATTTAATCAAATATTGATTTATTTCCAAATATTGTTAGTTAATTTTATCGCTATTTATGATAAGTTATTAATTATTATTTTCCAATTAAGTAAGGATACTAATAGATTTTCTAATAATTAAATTTTACTATTGTTAGTACAAAATAAATTCAAATAAATTTGGCTAACAATGTAGAGTTACCTAGATTTTACTATGAAAAATTAAAAAGTAATCAGAAAATGCCACCAATAATATGACACAAAAACCTAGGTTGTTTATGACTACTGCAAAGAGACTACGAGTTGAGTTGTGGTACTGTGATTCTTACCCTCAAAAATTTATTGCTTATATGCATCTGTGTCAGTGTTGGTCATCACTACCACCCTCCTCATTAGAATTCTTCAGGCACCGCTAGTCTTCTTCCTTTGTGTTGTGCAACCTTGAAACATATCTTGATATGATGCCTTATGTTATTGGACTATCCACCATTGTGTCAACAAAAGTCTCTGATTTCAGCAATCTGCCTCCGCCACGTACTTGATCGTATCCCATCTGTGGCAAATTATAGCTCTGCGCTATCATCTTTTTTGATGTACCAGCATTTTTCATCATTTTTATTTGCGATGAAGTGTAGGTGTTTACCGAAGGTTTCAGGTCCTATAGAAGTCATACCCATAACCCTGGTAAAGAGCATCAAATATAACACGTACTATGAAAAACGATGATGGTCATCATTTATACTTCCTAGTATTCCTTCCTAGTATAACCTCATTCATTTGACTGTCCATCTGTTATGCACAGTGGCAATGGCCCTATTGCTGCAAGCACCGAGAGCGCTCACAAAGGGCATGGCATGACTTAACCATTCGGTTATTAGTTGACCTAAAACCTAACAAATATAGAAAATTTATAATTTCATTGACACATCGTAAAATGATATTTCATAAATCATGATTTTTTTTTTAATATCTGTCTTTTCGGTTCCACCGGAATGCTTGATACAGGATTAATCGAGGACTTTAATACTGAATAAAAAGTGACTTAACAATAATTTATGTATAAAATATATTCAAAATTAATATGTCTTGAAATTTTCAAACTGGACTATATCAGGTATTGTTGTAGATTTTTTAACTATTTACAAGAATAATAGATGATTATATATTATAAGTTCTAATATAACTGTGTACTTTGTTTTCATGTAATAATAAGTATAGTTTACTATCTTTGTTATGTCAACTAAATAAAATACAATATACTTGTCATCTAATTTATTTGTGTTTAAAATATTCAGTATTTCCTCGTGAATTTATCAGTAATCTATATTATTAATTACCTGTCAAAATGTTGTAAACACAGTTTGATTCGTTTTGGAGTCAGAAAATCACTGAAAGTAATAAACATGAATCTTAATAATTATAAGTTGCTGGTGCAGTAAAGCGCCTGGAACAGAACTTCGTACGTTTCAACTTTACGAACCGCAATAAAAACCGCACGGCAATAAAAAATAATTTAAAAAGTGCAAAAACAAAGCACCAGCTTTTTGAGCGGAAATTCGCGGCGCAAAATTCATTTCGACGCAATCCAAAAAATAATATATATATTACGGTCAGAACAAAATTGCCCATCAATGTGTTAATAATATTTTGTTGCAATTAAATGAACCGGAAATGCATTTTGTAACAGATACATTTCACGGTCTGCAGAATCACGCTCGAAACTGTATGTCCATGAAATGGAACGGCCTTTGAGGATAGAGCAATATGTACTCCAAAAAAAATGAAACTAATGCGAATTAATTAGAAACAAAAACTAATGTGTATAGATAAGTAAGGACAATGTAATTGAAACAAATAATAATTATTTTTTTAATTATGCTTAGATTTTTTATGCATATTGTTACAAATACATTAAAAAATATTGTTTGGCCTCACTTACGCCTAGAAAAAATCATGTGAGTTATTGACTATAATCGAATTATAGTTAATAAATTTGAAAGAAAATATATAGACGTTTGTTTCAAAACTAAGTAGAGATAATCTAATTATAAAATAAAAATAAAATGAATAGAAGCAAACAAAAAACGTTTCATGCTATGTTAAGTTAAGTAGGATATTGAAATTAAACTTGGAATAAGAAAAAACAAATACGAATTAAATGGAAACAAAAAAGTGTAGACCCTTTTTGCCGTGGCAAATAAGGATAATGCAACTATTCTTTCAAATTAGTAGGAAACAAAAATATGTTTGGACGTTTGTTTCTGTGGTATCCAGAGATAATGCAATTATTCTTGCAAACTAACATGAAAAAAATAATAATTAATTTTAAGATTTTCTGTTAAAAGGATCTTAGGAGACACATGCAGCGCTACACACTAGAAGTTTAATTTATGAAAATGTTTTCTCCTAGCAAAACAAGTTTGAATTAATTTGAAACTATAAATGAATATAAATTTATTAAGGGTAAGTGCGGATATAGAAAACTATAAAGTGTAAATTAACTTAAAACTTCAACAAATGTGTTAAGTAAGGATTATGGAATTATCTTTTGAGTAAAGGACAAAACAAGTGCGAATTATTTGTTGAAAATGAAAAAAAATGTATAGAGTTTTATTACTCTGGTATTAACTTACAGAGAGATTTCTGTGTGGTTGAAAAATAGGTGCAAGAAATTCATTTGAATGCGTGAGCTGTGGGCGTTTTTGGGGTGGCGTATGAGTGGGGACAGATGCGACTGTAGAAATTTAATTTAAAATTGTCTGGTACCAAGGGAACAAGAAAAACCGCGCGCTGCTTTAGGTTGCATATTCTGTGGAAGGTCCTCGGGCCTTCATGTTTAAAATTCATTCCGGCATTAATGTGGAATCGCTTCAGATTTCAATTAATTCCGCAGCCTTCGGTCTTGGTCTCCCTCTGCGTTCCAATGGGCTCACACGCAGCTTCCATCCCATCATCCCCCCAGCATCTCTCATTGTGGCCATCCTCCCAGTCCGGGGGCGGCATTGCTTCGACGTCCCCACAATATACGACCGTTTAATAGTCTTCTCCGTCTCTCCATCCCCCCTATCACCGTTCAGGGGGGCAAGTACAGCCCCACAGGCTCCAATTCCGAATATATATTGGATAAGTTTAAATCTCGAGATGCCGTTTAAAATCCCCGCACCTAAGCGATTTATACGGAAAGAGCCGCACATATCAAAGCTCAAAAGGGAATCGGAGGAAAAACCGATCAGGGTAACTTTTTTTTTCTTCTTCATCCAAAATACGAGCGCGTACGAAGGAGAGAAAGAGTGAAGGAAGGAGAAAATAACATGCTTTCCACAAATACAAATTGGCTTTTTCATGAAGTACGTAGAAAAGCTTTCATACTTTTGATTCGGCCCAAAGTAGGAATTCTAATACGCTCCGTGAAAGATTTCCTCCCGTTTGAAAGGTCAACGGAGTGAAAGAAGAAAAATAATGTACGCTTTAAAAAAATATACTTTTTCAACACAAATAAACACAGTTTAAAATCACATGTAGTTTTTAAAAGAAGACACATCTGAATAAATCTTCGTTCTCCTTCAATGCACTTTCGATCTATTCATTTTCCTCATGTACTGTAACCCATATTTAAAGAAAAAGTATATCACTAAATATTACAATCTAAAATATCTTAATGAAAAATTAGTGTGTAACATATAAGTAAATAACAAAAATATTATTATACTTGCAAAACAGTTTGAATTAATTTGAAACAAAAAAATATAGTTTATATATTTTTTGTCTGAAGTTTGTTTTAGATTTAATTATGGATAATTAAATTATAAATTAAATTAATGTGAAATAATTGTAAAGAAAAAATGTGTGGACGTTGGTTACTATTAAAAGTAAGAATAATTCAATTATTCATTGAATAAGAAACAAAACTAAGTACGAATTATTCGGAAAGAAAGAAATGTTGTTGCCATGTAAAGTAAGGATAATAAAATTCTCCTTAAAAAAGAAATCAACTGCGGATGTATGTAATAAGGAAGGCAATTAATGTAATTAATATCCTTGAAATAAAGGGAGTGAAAGAAGGAAAATAATATACGCTTTAAAAATAATATATTTTTTTAACATAACATCGGCTGGATATTCACCCAAACCCCTTTGCTGTGGAGCTGACTAACACAGAGAACCATCGCCGAAGATTGAAGCATTTCAAGCCCCAAGACCTACCAAATCGTTTTTAGAGTAGGTAGTTCGTGAGTGCGTGTGTCTTTAAAGAGATTATGTTAATGTTGGTTACTGGTCCAATCCCTTGACTTTTTTTTTATTTTTTTTGTTTTAATTGTCACCAGTCCAGTTCCAAAATAAAGGAAAAAAATAAACAATGTTACAAACATTTTAAAATTCACATCTAGTTTTTAAAAACAAGCAGCATCTTAATACATTTTCGTTCTTCTGCAACGCACTTTCGAATATCCTTTCATTTTCTTCACATATTCCAACCTTTAATTAAAGAAATAGTGTGTTATTAAAGATCATAATAAAAATATATATGAAAATAATAACGTGTATCATTGTATAAGTATCATCACCTTTGTGGGTTGTTAAAATCCATATTTTCCTTGTTATTATTATCATCGTATATGTTGGCCATTACGTACTGCAACCTTCAATTTAAGAAAAAAAAGTATTAAAGGAATATTATAAGTAAAATATAGCAATTACAAATTTCATAATTAGAAATTATTGATGTTCATTAGTATCAGTTTAGGTTGATAAAATAATTTATTTCTTTCAAAATTGTTACTATAATCAAATCTGTGCTCTGTTCGGCAACCTTCAATTTAAGAAAACAGTGAATCACTAAATGATATAAATATCATAATAATAAATAATTAAGTATCATTAACTATCATACCTATGTGGGTCGCTACAATGTAGATTTTCCTTGTAACTATCTTCGAATGTGTTGACCTTAACGTTATGCAACCTTCAATTTAAGAAAAAGTATATCACTAAATGTTACAAAAATAAATATGATAATAATAAATGATTAAGTATCATTAACTATCATTACCAATGTGGGTTGCTATAATATAGATTTTCCTGGTAACTATCTTCGAATGTGTTGACCTTAACATTCTGCAACCTTCAATTTAAGAAAAATTATATCACTAAATGTAATAAGTATAGATATCATTAAATATATTACCTGTGTGGGTTGCTACAGTCTACATTTTCCGTGTTACTTTCATACAATTTCTCAGTCTTCACGTACTTCAAGCTTAAATTTAAGAAAATGTATCATTAAAAATCATAATTAAAATTTCATAAGAAATAGTGAATAGTCCCATTATCTGTTTAAGTTCATAGAATCAATATTTTCAGTGCTCTAACACATTCGATGATAGTATCAAATCTTTTGGAATATATATCACAATAATATATTTCATCTCATTGTTAAAAATATCATGACAACAAAAATATTAAGTATCAGTATCATAAATAAAGATTCATTACCTGTGTGGGTTGTTAATATCTATATTTTCCTTGTTATCGTCGAATCCGTTGGCTCTAACGTTCTGCAACCTTCAATTTAAGAAAATGTGTATCACTAAATATTACAAATAAAAATATAACAATAGAAAATATCATTATAAAAAGTAATATCTATAGGTATTATTAACTTTCATTACCTGTATGGGTTGCTCCAGTCTATATTTTCCGTGTTACTTTCACATAATTTCTCAGTCTTCACGTACTTCAAGCTTAAATTTAAGAAAATGTATCATTAAATATCATAATTAAAATTTCATAAGAAATAATGAATAGTCCCATTATTTGTTTAAGTTCATAGAATGTACGTTTTCAGTGCTCTAACAGATTCGATGATAGTATCATATCTATTGGAATATATATCACAATCAAATACTTTATCTCACAAATAAAAATATAACTATAGAAAATATCATTATAAAAAGTAATATCTATAGGTATCATTAACTATCATTACCTGTATGAGTTTCTCCAGTCTATATTTTCCGTGTTACTTTCACATAATTTCTCAGTCTTCACGTACTTCAAGCTTAAATTAAAGAAAATGTATCATTAAATATCATAATTAAAATTTCATAACAAATAATGAATAGTCCCATTATTTCTTTAAGTTCATAGAATCAACGTTTGCAGTGTTCTAACAGATTCGATGATAGTGTCATATCTATTGGAACATATATCACAATCAAATACTTCATCTCACAAATAAAAATATCATAACAAGAAAAATATTATGTATCAGTATCATAAATGAAGTATCATTAACTGTGTGGATTGTTAATATCTATATTTTCCTTGTTATCATCGAATTTGTTGGAAAAAGTGTATCACTAAATGTTACAAATAAAAATATAACAATAGAAAATATCATTATAAAAAATAATATATTTAGGTATCATTAACTATTATTACCTGTATGGGTTGCTACAGTCTATATTTTCCGTGTTACTTTCACATAATTTCTCAGTCTTCACGTACTTCAAGCTTAAATTTAAGAAAATGTATCATTAAATATCATAATTAAAATTTCATAAGACATAATGAATAGTTTCATTGTCTATTTAAGTTCTTAAAATCAATGTTTTCAGTGTTCAGATTCGGTGATAGTATCTATTGGGACCTATATTACACTAAAATATTTCATCTCACAATTAAAAATAAAATAAAATAAAAACATATTAAAAATATATTATAATAATAAAAATATCAAGCATCAGTATCATAATAGAAGTATCATTACCTGTGTGGGTTGTTAATATCTATATTTTCCTTGTTATCATCAACGGTTTGCAAGCTTCAATTTAAGAAAAAGTATATCATCAAATGTTACAATTAAAAATTAAACTATAAAAATTATCATAACAAAATAAAAATGAGTATCGATTTAATAAACTAATATTACCTATTTCTGTTAATCTTCACGTATTTCAGGCTTAAAATTAAGAAAATGCATGTGAATAAAAAAAATAATAGTGTTTGAGAGTAATTACCTGTTTAGGTTGATAAAATCAATATTTCTCGTATTACAATCTTCGAATCTGAAGGAAGAAATATCTCAATTAAAAATATCACAAAACTAAAAATTATGTTTTAATATTACATGTGCTTGTTGCTACAGTCTTTATGTTCAGACCCATCAAATCTGTTGCAAATAATAGGAATTTGGTACTGCTGTATTGCGGCTTCTTTATTAGTGTAACAATCGAGCTGTGCTTTCGAAATTGCGTAAGTGCCCCAAGGGGTTAACATTGCCCCTTTCACTTCGGGACCCTCAACGGGTATCATTGCATCCCTGGGAATACCCGAGGACACTTTAACCCTTTTTTCCAATAGACAATCTTGTACCCAGTGCCCTTTCCTGTAGCATTTAGAACAGGTGTATATCTCCGGAACTTTGCCGCGTGATTTTGGAGCTTTTAATCTAAAAAAAATCGTCTATATAATGACGAAATAAAAAACGAGAGCCTTTTACTTATCAAGGTGATCTTCCACATCTTTGATGGAATATTCCATTATTTGATCTTTTTGGGATTTCCATATTTTTTTACGGGTCTTTCCTATTAACAATGGTCTGCGAGCTATATGAACGGCGACATTCTTCATGATCATTGTTTTATCATCTTCATATACTGAAATAAATATAATTAATGATATTTGCAATTATTTAAAATATATAGTGTAAAAGCCTAGACTGTGTAAATAATTAATTTAGGTTGAAATAAAATAATATAATTAAACCTAACGTACATTAGATTCAGTTAAAGTTACCATTATTTTCTAATATCAAGGTTGTTCTATGCCACGAGTAAAGTCAGGATAGGTTCACTAAAATAGTAGTAGGTTAGGTCAGGTTAGCATTCAAGTTAAATTATGGCTTTGATTTTATTTTTTTTATAACTTTAATTAAGAAATATATAATAAAAGTGTCAATATTTAACTACGTAAATTCGGATTTAAATGGTTGTCTTAGATTAGATTCTATTAGATTATTGTGACTAGTTTTTGGCATTTCTTATAGATATTAAGTAAAGCTTTAATTATAAATTGGGCCTGTCAAAATTAATAGGTTAAGTTAAGGTCTAAGGCTACATTAAATTAACTATTATTTAATACACGTAGTAAACTGTTTACGTTACATGAAGTCAGATAGATTTAGGTTATGCTGGTGTTTATTCTTTAATTTGAATAGCAAAATTGTAGATTTTGTAAGATAAGTTAAGAAATAAATGTTAAACAGGTATCAAATTTATATTAAAATTCCGAAACTTTGGTACAAACCAACTTTATCTAATGTACATAGGTAAAGTTGTCAACTCATTGCTAGATATGAGCTTTTATTATGAATTTTAAGTAAAATATATAATACACATTACTTGACAAGTAATTTATAATTGACAACTTCCAACAGTATTTTGGAAATACGAAATTAGTTATGGTAACCATGAAGATCACGCATCATAAATGTCCATACGCATATGTACTTGGCAAGTATCGAATAATTTAGTACTTAACTGTTTTTATTACTTGGCAACTTCAAAAAGCATTTTGGAAATATGAAATTAGTTATAGTAACCATGGAGATCACTCATCATAAATGCCCATATGCATATGTACGTGGCAAGTATCGAGTAACATAGTACTTAACTATTTTTATTTATAAAAATATGATTTTTCTAATGTTATAATTGGTATGATGGCATTAGGATCAGTTGATAGTAATAATGATTCGAACACGAAAGTATTAACACGAATATTCATTTCAACATATAAAATATACCTTCACCACTATTTGAATTGATTATTTGGAATTCATAATCCATTATACTTCCCATGCGATTATCCAGCAGGATAGCTAATTTCAAGTCTCTCACTGAAATATAACTATCATAAATATTCACCTTCTTGAATTTAGACTCGCATTTCATTTTATAGTACACCCACATTCTGCTACTATTATATAAACGATTTGTAACTAAAATATATATTAAACAAACAAATAATCTAGATGATAAATGATCATTTGTAAATCAGAAATACAATTAATTAAACGATTTATAACTAAAATAATAAGTCTTGATTATAACAATCACAAATATCTTAATTAGTTAATTAAATTAGGATTTCATTTAAAACTATTTTTTCTCGCGGCAAAGCGATCTCGAAGTAAATCACAGTTATTCTGTAGAAAACAGATAAAAATATATTGAACTGAATGATATTTCTTCTTATTTATTAAAAACAGCTATAAAATATGAAAAAAAAGGTGTGTATATAAATACAATATTTCTATGTATACATTTAATCACAAGTGTATTCTTGATATATTAACTAAATTAAATAGTCACTAAAATACTGATATTTTTTTAACATTGTCTAAATGTCAAATTTATTTATATTATTGAAAAATTGTAATAAATGTTTTTTTGTTTAGATTTTTATAAATTTTAAATAATAAGCTAAATTTAAATTTTCATTTTAAAAAAAGGATATTGTATATTTACTTATACATCAAAAATTCTATATGCAACGAAACCAAATTGAATTCAAATGGTGAAGTAGGATTCTAGGAATACCGTAAGCTGGATCAATATAGGATGGAATTTCATTGCATGTGATTCAATACTATGACAAGAATTCTGCATCTGAAGAACATGTTCAAAGCTGACCTCTACTGGGCTGGATATCGAAGTCTAATGTTAATTGAATTCTGTTTCGGATTTCAATGCTTTTCTTAAAATATTATAAAATATTTAGTAAACAAAATGCTTTTATTACTATGTTATTGTGTTAAGTTTATATTTTGATAATTTATTGCAATAAATATTATTACTATTATATTTTTTTGCTAAATTTTGAACAAGAACTAAAATATATATAGTTATTTTGATATTATATAAAATATAAAATTCTTCAAAATGTGATATTTTCTTTCTTATACGAAAGATGACAGATTAAAATGTTACAAAATATCAATATGTTTATTTTGGTATAATAATCTATATTCTAAAGGAACTAAAAAAAGCTTCTCAAGTAGAATGTCTGAAAATGTACTTAGCCAAAACAAAAAGTCCAAATTATATACAGGTTGTCATCGACAATCATACCCTTAGAAGAGTGGATGAATATACATATATCTAGGGCACAAAATCAAAATAGATAACCAATCTGCTGAGATCACAAGATGTATCGACATATTCAGCTTTGTAGGCAGTCATATTCTCTAAAAATTCCTATAAACCTCAAAAGCAAAGTATATTACACGTGTGTATTTATAGTTGTTACGTACGTTCTAGAAACTGCAACTCTCAAGAAGAGCAGCGTAAACGGATGTCTGTCAATGTGCGATGGATGGTTACAGACTGAAGAATAATCTATGTTCTATGAAATATATAAATCTCTAATTTAAATGAGTTATAATGAAAAACTATTGCATAAATCTCTAAAAGACACGTCTGTAGGCTTTAAACATCCATCATTCTCATTCTATTAACTACAGTCGGTCATATTTGTCCTGATCCAATAATCCAAAGTTCCATTTGTTATTTGCTGGGGTTTGTTTCTGTTCTTTAGGATTTGTCCCTAATAAACGGCTGTCCCGATTAACCTATGTCTCGATTAAGCGGAATCGACTGTACCTGAATAGTTCAATTATAAAGACTAAGTGTGTGATGTATCGAATGAAACAATTATTAATAGGTTACTAGTCTATAGTACTTAATACGTATTTTCGAAATATTGACGTTCTATAGAGTAACTAAATAGTAATTAATATGGCTTAATAGATAATAATGATTACTTTGTTAAATTATATAAAATATTTTCATAATTCTCATTTTCTCAACGCACTAAACATAATTTGTTGGATTAATTGAGTTATTGTATATTTGTTAGTAAATTGCATAATTTAAGACAAATAATTTGTTCTATATACCTAAAATTTTTAATTACTTATTGTTTTCAATCAAAATATCTCTATTCTGAATATCCCAGTTGGAAAAAATTGTTGTGGTTTTGCAGGTTCCTGAAAGCTTTTTTGTTATTTTCAGTCTACGTAACGAAGAACTTTTGTTACGACAGAAATTAATATCGTCCTCCCATTCTGCTCGCTTTTCGCGTCCTTGTTGTACATCTCGGCGCCTTCCTTTTTTCTCTCCCTCCTTGTAAATAAGTTGGCGAAGGTAGAAACAGAGGCATATTCATACATCCACGCTGCCTGCCGCTGTTACTGTTGTTGCCGTAATATCACAAAGAGGTTCTCGTTTGTTTTAAAGCGAATCCTTTTTACACGTTCCGCCTTTTGTTTCGGCAATAATGGGTTGGCTTCGCTATGGATGAGGATCAGGATGCGTTCCTTTGGCAAACGAAACCCGGATCCTACCGTGTAATAACCTCCACTTAATGATATCACAATCTCCACATAAAGCTCAACTTCCTGGAAGGCAAACCTAACGGCGCCGTGGAGAGATTCCGACCTCCAAGCCTAATTTCAGTTATCCCGTTCCCCCTCCCATAATTTACTCACTCGAAATTCAAATTATTTACCCTGTACGAAGTTTGCAAGGCAACAGCATACGAAAAAAGTATGTAAATTTATGAAAACGAATCGCCTCGCGCTGCCGTTAACCTCTGCAAGTATAAGAAGAGACAGCTGTTAAAGCAAAAAAATTAAGGCAAATTGCCTACGCCTCGTCTCGAAATGATGCAGGAATTAAGAAAATGTGTGTGTTCCTCCACTATCTCTCCCCTTCGTTCCGAATATTAAGGAATGGTGAAATTGAAATTTAACCACGTCTCAACGAAAGCCACCAGCTCTTTAAAACGTTTCCTTTTCTTAATAACTCCGGTCGCTCGAAATCCGAGTAATTTGATTTTATTTTTTAATAACGCCAGGGAGAGCATGAAATATGCATGCGGACTTCGTTTCGTTGCGATTCGATTTTTATTTATTGCGCATTCCGTCCGGGGAAATTAAGGCTCGTCGGGCCGGAAGGATGATTGCTGTCGTCTGCACGCGTTCAAAGGACAATCCACGAATCGGTGGAGGCAAACCGAGGATGAGGATGAGGAAGAAGCAGGAAGAATGGAGATGGGGCGGAAAGCAAGAAGTCGGTAAGCCGCGACTCGCGGCAGGAAATTGAGGTCTGATTTCATGGACGTCACTTCTATTTATAAAGATTTACGTTCCCCTATCTCATTCTTTCTTTGAATCTACCAACAAATTGGTATTTACACTACATCATCTCTATTATGTTTGTATATAACAAGTTAACTTTAATGCTATCTGTACACTTAAATATTTATTTTTTTAAATATTATAAACAAAAAACAATGTTATCAACTTTAAACTTCTCCAAACACAAACTACAAAACTTAATGTCTAAATGGACACGTTTTCTTTCTAGTTCATCAGTTTGTTGATAAGTCTTTGAATATTTGACAGCGAGTTCTGATGATGTCCTTACATAGTTTCCAAGGCTTAGTTGCCTGAGGAATACTTTGCTAATGAAGTAGAGTTCTTCCATAGCTGAAGAGTTTGGTTGAAAGCTAGAAACTCCATCTATAAATCTGTGCAAAGCATCCTTGTCGATATACTATGGCCTTATCACGTATATGACGTTCAGGATTGTGATTCAGAGTGAAGGAAATAATTTGACCGAAAAGCTGAACGACACCAAAACTTTATAAGAAATAAGGAAGACCCATCACCAACTTAGGGTGTATTCCTTTGATAGTTTTGTATTAATTATTAATGTTATTATAAAAAATATAACATTTTATAATTGATAGATAAAAATGAGTACCCTCACATTCGTTTTAATTACAGCCAACAAATGTTGTTTGGAATCCTCATAGATGTCTATTATATTTATGATCTGCTCCAACTCCTAACTGGATCTCCAATAGGGTTGTTCTACGTTTCTTACTAATACTGTATATAGTTATGTATAGGTGTATAGTTTTTGCATAATGATAATGTTTATGCCGCCGTGGCAAATTTTGATATTGAAAGATGGGAGATAATTTTTGTTGTCTAGATCGTGATTTGTTTGATAAAATTATTATAAATTATAACGTAACGTATAAATTATTCTTATAAACTATTATGTTAAATATATTACATTTATTTATACCTAATGTAATCAATTCCATTATATATACTAATAATAATATATACTAATAATATGAAGTTTATATTTCATTTATAATTTATTTTCAGTAGACATGTTTTTATATTGACGTATCTCTTAATAATCTTAATTGAATTAATACAAAAATCAATAACGGCAATAATCTTTATTTCTATTAGATATTTATATATTTCTAGAAAAGCTTAGATTCTTTACAAATTATTAAATAATTTAGTAGTGTAAGTTTCTCATCAATACTATTTGCACATAGATAATGATTTATGAATTCACCAATACCTCGCTTAGTGTGGCTTCATTAGATTCATGATAGTCCGGTTTAAAAATTTCAAAAGAAACAAAATTTTCATTGAGCAATAAAAATAAATTAATACAAAACATTATTTTTGACAGGTAGGATAGGTTTTCTCTCATTGCATATTCAAATCTCTTTATGTGCGGTTTATTTTTATATGTATTTAGTTTCTCGATTATTCTCATTTCAAACCGATTATAATTATAATGTTAAAATGTTATCATATTTTTATGTATATATAAATTACATATAGTTTAATAAAGAAATGAAAATCCGTTTACAATTAGTATGCAGCAGATAGTCACTGCGAAGTGAAAAACCTAAAATATTAATATATTATAATTTATAAAATTAATTAATTGATATAAATTGATATATTTACTAGTAGATATGTTACGTTGTTGAATGGAACAAGTATTGCAGACATTTCAATTTGCCCATGCAACATATTTAAACTAAAGATTTGTATAGCATTCGCCACTCTCTTATCATTATGGAATTTTATATAGAC